AGCGGGGTAGTGATGCTATTTAGGTGGTTGTAGACCGATTGACTAAGTCAGCACATTTTATCCCTATGCGCGTAAGAGATTCGGTAGATCATCTAGCCGATTTGTATATTCGGGATATAGTGAGGTTGCACGGAGTCCCAGTGACGATCGTCTCAGATAGAGACCCTCATTTTACTGTTAGATTGTGGCAGAGTTTATAGAGTGCCTTAGGCACTAAGTTGACCTTTAATATGGCTTATCATCCTCAGACTGATGGGCAGTCCAAGTGTACTATCCAGATCCTTGAGGATATTCTTCGAGGTTGTGTCCTTGATTTTAGTGGGACGTGGGAGAGGCACTTGCCCTTGGTGGAGTTTGCCTACAACAACAGCTTTCAGTCTAGTATTGGTATGGCACCGTTTAAGGCCTTGTATGGCCGACCTTGTAAGTCTCCAGTATACTGGGCTGAGGTGGGTGATGCACCTTTGTTGGGCTCGGAATTAGTTAGGGAGACGACAGAGAAAGTTGAGCTTATCCATATGAGGCTTGTTACAGTCCAAAGTCACCAAAAAAGTTATGCTGACCGTAAGAGGAGGCCTTTGGCATTGAGACGAGTGATCATGTTTTCTTGAAAATATCACCGAGGTGAGGTTTGATGAGATTTTGGAAGAATGAGAAGTTACCCCCTCGATTTATCGGTCCCTTTGAGATCCTTGAGAGGATTGGGCAGGTTGCTTATCGTTTGGCTTTACCACTGCAGTTGTCCGGGGTACATGACGTATTTCATGTTAGTATGCTTCGGAAGTATGAGCCGAATCCATCGCATGTGTTGGATTGGACCGACTTAGAGGTAGATGAGGATGCCTTGTATGAGGAGAGACCGGTTCGGGTCTTGGATAGGCGGGGTCAAGTCTTGCGAGGCAAGACTATTCCTTTGGTAAAAGTTTTGTGGAAGCATCACGGAGTGGAAGAAGCCACTTGGGAACGTGAGTTAGAAGTCCGTGAAAAATATCCGGACATGTTTGTTGATGTATAATCATGTATTGAAATTATGCAATATGATGAACTTTAAGAACATTGAATGTGTCTTGAGTTGTAAAACATTGTGAATGTTTTGGTTCATGGAAATATATTTTGGAAACTTGCCTTAAAATGGAAGTTTAGTGTAACATTGCATATTGTAGAAATGGAAATACATCATGAGCATTGAATTTGATATAGAATTGTGTAATGTGGTATTGAAATTTGTAGAATTTCAAGGAATGCATATCTATAATGCATGTTGTGGGAAATGTTGTAAATTGCCTCTTGAAAAGAGATGAGATGACCGGTAATGGGTCGAGTTGTTGAATTTTGCTTGTAATAATGTTAGGAATTGAGAAAATCTTGTTTTTGAAAAACTTGTATTTAATTTCAGGGACGAAATTCTTTAAGGAGGGAAGGTTATAGCGATTTCGATTTTCCCTTTCTGTATTTATTGTATTCCAGACTTTGGTTCCGTGGTGTTGGTGGTTGTATACCTTGTTGTCATCCTTTAATTCCACATGTTTGAGTTTTAGGATGTGTTGGGCATGTTTCGAACAGGTAGGTTGAGTTTTGGTCTCAAGTGTTGTTGCCCAGGTTTTTGGTGTTACGCTCGAGCGAGTCATTCTGCGCTCGAGCGAATTTTGGTTTTTGGTTGTCCGCTCGAGCAGACCTTCTTGCGCTCGAGCGGGGTTTACACCCTTCCAGTATTTCATGTTCCTGCAAAACTTCTGCAGGTGTGTTTTCTACGCTCGAGCGGGTAGTTCTGTTTCTGAAAAGTTCTGAGAGATGAAAATCTATGCTCGAGCAGACTGGTCTTTCGCACTCGAGCGAGTGTGTTTTGTCTTTGTGTCTTGGCGCTCGAGGGGGTATTCTTGCACTCGAGCGGACCCAATTTTTTTGTTCTTGACACTGAAGCGTCCTGTTCTCCGCTCAAGCAGGAGAGTCGTATATCAGTTGACAGCTAGGCTATTTTAAATCACTTTTTACTTTCCATTCTCTCTCTTACTTTTCGAAAACAGCCATTTGAGAACTTCTCTCTCTAAAAACTTACCTTCTCTCTAGTTATTGATCTAGTATGAGTGATCCTTCACCCTTTGGCCTTTATAAAAAGTGTGTTGATCGTCGAGGGCATCATTTTGATCCAAAAAGTTTGGAGTTTGGAGCACTTTGAGTTTGGTCTTCTTCTTTCTTTCAGCTCCGAATTTAAGGTAGGGATTCCTACTCACTTTTATGGGCTTTGACCTAGATTTTGAGCTTTTGTATAAATGGTTTTGGGTTTTGAAAGTTAGGGTTTCAAATGTGTAATTTTGAAAAGAGGGTTATGTTTATTTTGAACCATAAACATGTATTTGGGTTTCAAAATGAGTATATTGATGTTGTTGGTAATATTTAGACCCTTGGGGTTAATATTGAGAGATGGAGGAGAAAGCCCTAAATTGTGCATAAATTAATTGGTGTAATTAATTTGGGAAAGTTATGGGTTTGTGAAATTGAGTTGAATATAATGAAATTGGCTCATTATGAGATGGGATAGTGGAGTTGGATTTATAAATCATTCACTTTTGAAAATGCGGATAATTTATCTGGTAGTGCTTTTATTATCTGTTTAAAAATAATTACTTTGGGCTACCGGTGGAGGGTAGTCTTGATTGTTGTAGACAATGCATGATGATTAGGCAAACTAAACCTGGTCAATTGAATGTGTCATAGAATATGACGGTTGAAATAATACATTAACTTTATGTATTGATTGAATGTGTATATGATCTATGTTTATATACATTGTGTTGTGTAGGAGGAGATAGGAGATGTACTCCACGGTTTAGGGGAAGATAGGGGATGGACCTCTAAACCGGATAGTGTTTGGGAGAAGATAGGGGATGGACTCCGTAGATACAGCTCATATGCTTATCTGTTGATGTGTTGATACAGCTCATATGCTTATCGTTGAAGTGTTGATACAGCTCATATGCTTATCTGTTGATATGTTGATACAGCTAGTATGCTTATCTATTGTGAAGTGAGAAATGTTTAATATGAGTTACTAACTCATCTGAATTGTTAGGCCAGGTTCTGAGCCATAGTTATGAATTGAGAATTGGATAAGAAATGGAAAATGGGATGAAATATGGACGCACTTGTCATGTAATGGAAATAGTTTATGAATTGATTTATGTGAGTCAAACAGTTATCAATTGCTAATGTCTTAGTTACTGCTCATACTATGTTTAGCATATCTCTACTGGGCGTTGGCTTACCCTATATGGGACATCATTTTCAGGTACAAGTAGCATGCCACCTCCAAGGACATAGCTTGGGAGGCTAGAGGCAGACAGACTGTGTTGTTATTTTGCTTTCTTTTGATGTATTACATGTAAATTCAAGCCAAGGGCTTAATATGTATTTGAGTTAGCACTCTTCTTTTGTAACCAAGTGTTGACTTGGAAAGCTGTAAGCCCATAGGGCATTTGCTTTTGTTGTTAACATGTAATACTTTTGTAAGAACTACTCTGATAAATAGGAAGATGTTTATTTCTCTTATATCTTTGCATGTCTAAAATGATGGGTTTTATGTATTATTTTGAGGGCGTTACAACTACCGAATGAAATTATTCACAAAGATGTTTGATTTCAACTCAATGTCATTTTCCCATTTACAAAAACTATATGTTATTATATTTTTTTACTAAATTGACTCTAAAATATATTACAAAAAGTACACAGTCATAAATGAAAAATAAGAAAAACTATATTAGCCTTAAAATCCTATTTTATGTACTTTTTTACTCAATTGGATGGAGTTACATGAGGATTCAAAAATGTCATATACCTCTCAGTAGAAATAACATTAAAATGTGCAAGTAATTCTTCATTAAATGGATTATCCATGTCAACTTCATGTTATGTAAGTTCGACACTAACTTGACACTTAATATTCATGTTACCAGGTTGTGTCATATTCATGTTTGTGTCAAAAATGATCAACCCTAACCCGCTAACTTCGTGTACTGTTCATGTTGAAGATTCCCACCCTTAAATACTAATATGTTGATGAAGCCGCCAAAAGGAAAATGGCAATAGCTAGGTCAGTATTGATAGAGTGGGCTGCCGTGGACATCGGCTGCAGAGCGTGGTGGTATGTTATGATCCCATATTGGTTAACAGCAAGCTTGGGCATTTGAACATAAAACTCTTAGGAACCCTCCCTTTGCAAGTCGATTTTCAAGGGTGAATTCTACCCTTCTACCCAAGTGGTTTGTATCACACAGGCATGGTAAATTTCTTTGGCCCCATTTGATGCAATGATGCATTCAGCTTGAAAGAGCTTTTGCTGTCCTTAAAGTGCTTCATGGTGATTTGGTTGTACCTTTGAAGAACTTTGAGTTTTATAGGTACATCACCAAAAAGCATTGTATGTTAAAGTAGTAATTGAGGTGCTTTGGCGAAAAAACAAAAAGTGATAGCTCAAGATGCAGCGACAAAATAATACTAAACTAGTTTACATTGAGCTTTTCTCTGCTAAGACTCTTAATTGAAAACATATCATCAGAAAGCACGCACCACCAAACTAGACCTTAACCAAATAACTTCTCCATGAATGAAGAACAACTATGGACATGTAAATGATAAGATAAGAAGGGTATTATTTATATCTAAAATCAAATAGCTTGCAAATCTTATACTACAAGGAAAGCAAGACAAAAAGCAAATATTAACTGCCAAAAGGCTTAAACAGTGACCATGAGGACCATAATACATGAAAAATGTGTTACCTTTCACAAACGATGGATGAATAAGTAAACAAGACAGAAACAAAATTTCTGATGTTCCACGTGTCTTTAATGAACAAATCTATGTTTCTGTTACCTCCCTTGTGTTGTGTAAACATCTCACTGTGGAAAATAGTGTCATTCATGGTGAGGGTAGTAACAAAACAAGTAACTGAATCAAAGTGGTTCATTCACTCTAAATAAATAAGAAAGAAAAAAGATGAATTACCTCAATTTTTGCTCCTCTAAGTAAAGGCCAGTTTTTATTATTTTAGGTAATTGCACTACTTCTGAATGGGTGAGCAATTCCTCACTTATTACTCCCTTCACATATCCTTTCAAACAGTTCTGAAGCAGCTCTGGCCTGATAATGCATTTTAGCTGCTTACTTGTACTAAGTCGAATCATGGAACAGTTTTGCCTCAGAACTTTCCTCCTAGTATCTATTCTCCGCCTGCAAGCAGATGTCCCTGAACCAGTGACCTGCATCTTCTTGTGAGTATTTTCTCTTTTTCCATCAGTTATTACTGTCTCAGTTGAAAGATTCCATTGCTTTTCCAGCATTGACTTCTGTAACAAGAGAAGAGCCTCCACTGAAAATTCCGAATGAGATCTGTCCTCCTCCAAGTGGTTCAATCTTTGAAGCCACACCTCAGCAATTGAAGGTTCAGAAACAGTATTCACATGTTCTTTTTGAGCTTTTAAGGACCGTGTGTGTTGGTTGGACAAAAAACTAGTGCTATTATTGGAGGACTTATTTGTTGTGTTAACATTCTTTGTTGTAGCAGCCTGATAGTATGTTGATCCGTAATCGTAACCACATGACAGCTTTTCCATGAGATCAGAATAATAGAAGGAACTAAATAGCCTCTTTCCTGCACTGAGTCCAATAACAGCAGCAGAGGCCATCATATGGCTTCTTCTTGGTTAGCTGCAATACCATCACACGTATTTAGCAAATTTGCTGAATCAAAACCATCTCACAATACTTCAATTGCAAGGGAGACACCAAGCCACAAGGAAATGGATGTGTAGATCACTTTCTTAGGTTTCTGAAAAGGACCAAAAATTAAAGAAATGAATGTACGAGTCGATTTTTATGGATTAGGTTTTTTCAAGGAAGAAACTTGCCGACAAGTTTGTTTTAAAATGGTATGCAGACAACATCCAATTTGGTTTTACAAAGTAGCAACACTAATTTTAAGCAAATTCCAAGAAAAGTGAGCTTTAAGTTAGTAAATAAAAATAAAATTTAAAGCAGACAAAATAACCTTCAAGAATATCAGCACCAGAGTATGGGACAAATTTGAAAGATATCAATATCAGCAATCAAGTGGGAGAAGAACGGGGGAAAATAAATGGTAGATGAGAGGCAAATATTTTATTTTCTTTGTTTGTTTATTTATCAATAAGTAAGAAGTAAAAGATTTAACATGAATATAAACATAGAAAGAAAAGACAAAAACCAATGGAAAGAATAACCACAATGACATTTCACTTGCATACTATATGACCTTAAGTTATGATGTGAAGTGTCTCAGTTGAAAGATTCCATTGCTTTTCCAGCATTGACTTCTGTAACAAGAGAAGAGCCTCCACTGAAAATTCCGAATGAGATCTGTCCTCCTCCAAGTGGTTCAATCTTTGAAGCCACACCTCAGCAATTGAAGGTTTAGAAACAGTATTCACATGTTCTTTTTGAGCTTTTAAGGACCGTGTGTGTTGGTTGGACAAAAAACTAGTGCTATTATTGGAGGACTTATTTGATGTGTTAACATTCTTTGTTGTAGCAGCCTGATAGTATGTTGATCCGTAATCGTAACCACATGACAGCTTTTCTGTGAGATCAGAATAATAGAAGGAACTAAATAGCCTCTTTCCTGCACTTAGTCCAATAACAGCAACAGAGGCCATCATATGGCTTCTTCTTGGTTAGCTGCAATACCATCACACGTATTTAGCAAAATTGCTGAATCAAAACCATCTCACAATACTTCAATTGCAAGGGTGACACCAAGCCACAAGGAAATGGCTGTGTAGATCACTTTCTTAGGTTTTTGAAAAGGACCAAAAATTAAAGAAATGAATGTACGAGTCGATTTTTATGGATTAGGTTTTTTCAAGGAAGAAACTTGCCGACAAGTTTGTTTTAAAATGGTATGTAGACAACATCCAATTTGGTTTTACAAAGTAGCAACACTAATTTTAAGCAAATTCCAAGAAAAGTGAGCTTTAAGTTAGTAAATAATAACAAAATTTAAAGCAGACAAAACAACCTTCAAGAATATCAGCACCAGAGTATGGGACAAATTTGAAAGATATCAATATCAGCAATCAAGTGGGAGAAGAACGGGGGAAAATAAATGGTAGATAAGAGGCAAATATTTTATTTTCTTTGTTTGTTTATTTATCAATAAGTAAGAAGTAAAAGATTTAACATGAATATAAACATAGAAAGAAAAGACAAAAACCAATGGAAAGAATAACCACAATGACATTTCACTTGCATACTATATGGCCTTAAGTTATGATGTGAAGCTTCAAACTTTTAAATCTGCTACTTCAAGTCATTGCCACTTCCCGGTTACAATTGAATTTGGCAAATAAATGTGCTGAAGATTCTGATAAAGCTGCATGAATCATCACTATTGCGATATTAAATAGGAATATGATGAGTGCACAACACGAGTTGAGTAAAGTTTTTATGACCGGCCTGTTTTCATTCCAAATGCTCTACATAGTTATCAATCCTGGCCTACATTGATCGGCATGATCCAAAACCTACAGTTCAAGCAAGAAATGTACAAACAAGTTTGTGTTTAGTTCTGGTGCATTCTCCTTCCTACACCAACATGTTCCATCTGTTTTGGGTTGTGTATGTTGCAACAAACATAGTAAATCAACATTTGTATTGCAAATCAAAATTCTAATTTTGTGAATCAAGAATAGAATTAGGAATCATAAGAATCAGTAAAAACTATAAAAAAAAATAATGTTAAACAATCATACATATGAAAGAATATAAAATAACTTGATTTTGGCACATGTTATACAATAATTCTTACACAAGGACATAATTACGTTGTTTAGTAGAAAAAGTAAAGTAAATTACTTTAATATTGAAAAGCTTTTGAATTTGAATAAGCAAGATGCCTATATTAACACAGTGAAAAAAAAAATCTAATGATTGTTTCTTTGTAGGGATTTTCTTTTCCTCTACATCAAATGGCTGCTAATTTCAGTAATGAACGTGAAACTAAAATGAAGGTGTTAAGATTTTGTGTATTGGCAATTTTCATGGACAAAACATGTGTCACATATTCAAGAATGAATATCTTTAAAGACAATGCAAAGAGTGTTTGAAATTTAATCTCATGTATAGCTGCATGAGCATACTACATTAGTATAGGATACAAGCATTTTATGTCACAAATTGACCTAGGATGACCCGTACTTAGTCCTATGCACTTCGTACTTGAAAACAATTTGAAATAGAGCTATTTGGGCAAGACCAGCATACCCGACTCAAGGCTGTACAAGCAAGGTGCCGCTAGAGTTAGTTGAATTCTGTAATAAGGCAATAAGGTTGAATATACAGAGAAACAGAAAAGAGAAAAGAAAGAACCCAAAGGTTTAATGTGGTTTAGTCAATATTGGCCTACATCCACATACACAAAGCCCTATGGGCTACATCTTTCATTCACTCAACTTCATACTCTTCTTTATATGATGCACCATATGTATAGAGTGGGAGATATAATCAAATCCCTTCAATTAAGGAATTAAAATAAATCAGAGATACAAAAAATCATAATAAGTACAAATCATGGGATCTTCATATATTATAATATCTTCCATATCTTTTGATATTTTTGACAATATAATCTTATGTCCAACAGAATCAAGGACTCTAAGCCCACTTGAATGGAGCCTTCTTTTGATTTTCATAGAAAAATTCCAAAATCTTGCACCCTAAGCCCTCCAATGTGTACTCAAGTGGACAAGTGGATTTCTAAATCACTACACGACATTAGTTGTTAAAAAAAAGGAAAAAAAGGTCTTTGTTTTTGTCTAATACAAACAAAGATACCAAGAAACAATCCTAGGAAACCTAGTTTTTAGTTTATTTAGAGATGAAGACTTCTTTTTCTTATGCATACAAATTGATTTGTGAAAAACTTCTGTTTGTTTTTTTTTTTTTTTGGTTTTTTTATTTTATATTATAAAAATCACATGCACTTTAGCTATTTGATTACTCTTAGAGCAGCGGTTATTCTTGTCAATTCACCCATTGCAATCAAAGTTTAGTCTATTAACCCATCTAGCCATCAATGTGTCCGCCTTTTCCTTTTGAAAAGGTATCAATGGATTGCTCCCCAGAAAATTATCTCTTGGACTTTGTTGGTCCATAATGCCGCTCCCAGTGACTGCTCTAAAAACAGGCCCACAGGTTATGATGTCGAATGCAGTAAAACATAAGCGAAGCCCTCCCTAACATCAATTGGTTTTAGGAGAGAGAAGGTGGAACTTGATTCGACAGACTTGAAGCTTATAATGCCTTCAACATCAGTATATATATATATTTTTATTTTTTAAATTAATGAAGATGCCAATTCCAAGAAATTACCAGAATCGAGTATATGTGTGATTATAATTGGCATATATATATATGTAGAGAGAGAGAAAGAGAGAGGGGGGAGGGTTATTTACACACCACATTTAGGTTAGGTTTGGCATCTCCTCAAAAAGTCAAAAAGTCAAAAAGTCATTATCCTATTTAAGTTGCATCATCTTATTTAAGTTACATTACCTCTCTACCACATCATTTCAAACCTAACCCAAATTTCATAAAAACTCAAAAAGTTCACTTATTTAGAACATCCCAAACAAGACACACCATTAATTGGTTATTTTTTTATTACAATAATGACCTTAGATAAAAGGGGGATTTGGTGATAGCCCCCTCGCTATCTAATTTGTCTTTCAAAAGGACAAGAATTATATAAGTACTTTCAAAACCCCCTAATATTTTAAAACTTGTTTATTTTACTATAATACCCTCATATCTATCAGCTCTCCTATTAAGCCATCTTCACTGTGTATTTCAGAGTAAAATTTTACTCTGTATGAAAGTAAAATTTTACATTCTGAAACTAAAAGTAAAATTTTACTCTGTATAAAAGAAAATTTTACCCTGAATAAGAGAAAATTACACTCTGAAACAAAGTAAAAATTTTACTCTGAAAAATAAGTAAGTAAAATTTTACTCTGTATAAAAGTAAAATTTTACTCTGGTTCTGTCAAATGAAAAAAAAGAGCAATAGAACCAGAGTAAAATTTTACTCTGGTTCTATCAAATGAAATAAGATCATTCACAACCACTATTCTTCTGTTTCTTCACAGTTACTTGCCTCTTTCGGATCACCTTTTTGGCTTCTCTATTATCTATTACATATACACAATCCATATTGCTCACTTACGACACAAAAATTTATCAAAATCAAAAATAATTTTACAACAAAAAGTTGAGAGAACATAGTAACAACTCATCAATAGATCAATTTAAGAACTTAACAACACTATCCAAATGAAAAATCTCTCTAGCTCTCTCTCACACACACACACACAAACACACACACACACATATATATATATATGAAAAATCTGAAGAACTGTGTTCAAATATGAAAATTTTGAACAGTCGCGCGATTCGTCTCTGTACTCTTTCACAATTCAAATTCTTTGTTGAAAACTTGATGTAACAGGTCTCTTTTCTACTAAAAAATCATTCAAATCTCCGATCTTAAAGACTCAAAACATATATATATATGTATCAGTGCGATTTGCAGGAACTGTGTTTGATCAACGGTTGCTGATGAGGGATTCGCCGATTCTACAACGGTTCAAGT